TATATATATATATATATATATATAATATATATATTATATATACTATATATATATATATATATATATATTATATATATATATATATATATATTATATATATATATATATATATATTATATATATAGATATATATATATTATATATATATATATATTATATATATATATTATATATTATAGTAAAAAATCTACTATATTGGCAACCGTGCTACTGAGAAGTGTATGGGCAGAGGTTAACCGACTGCACCCGAACTGCGACGAAAACCGAGGAGCGTCGTCAAATTTACGATAGTCCACCTTGCTAGGGTTAAATAACTTTTAAACTTATAATTTTTAGGAAAAACGTAAAAAAGTCAATTAATATTTAAAGGGAGAGATTAATCATTAATCATTTTTTTAAATTACTTCACCCTTTTTTATTATATATTTTGTTTCTTCTTTTTGTTCTGATTTCAAAAATGTATAATACATTCGGCTTGAAGTGATTAGATTGTGAGATAGAGAATTTTTCTTTGTTTACATTTTTTGCAAGAAAGAATCAAAATTGTAGGTTTTTACTACAAAAATAATAATTGTGCAAGAATTGCTTCTAGAGTTTTTAGTTAAAACACACTACAATATACAATCAACAACTTATAAGTATGTGATTGAACTAATGCAGAAATTTAGAGCAACAGGACTATTTTGCAATTAAAAAACATAACCGACAGGACTCGTAAATAACGAAGCAAACCAAGTAGCCATTTTAGAGCAAGTTAACTTAGAGGCTGAGCAATCACAGTTACTGTCGACAATAAGCAGAGCAGTCGGTATTTCACCTGTTACAGCATTCTAAATCTTCCATAAATTTAAGTTAAATACTAACTTTCATGAAATGCCTTGGTGAACAGACAGAATTGCCGATACTGGGCTGAGAGTGATCCACATATTGTGGGGAATTTTACACACAGCATCCTCAGAGGTTAAACTTATCAGGGGATCACATTATTGGACTCTTATTTATCACTGAAAAAATAAATGCTGCATTTTATCTTGAGCTATTTAGGCAAGTAGTAGATCGTATTAGAAAAATAGTAGAAAATAATAATAACCTTTCCAAAGATTTGGTTGTATTTCAACATGATGAAGCTCTTCCACACTTTGCTCTACTCATGTGAAAATTTTTAAAACAAAACTTCTACCACTCGTTGATAGGTAGAAGAGGACAGATGATGGATTGGCCACACAAGTCACCGGATTTAACACATTCGGACTTCTTCTTATAGGTGTATTTAAAAACAAAAATTTAAGCTACTCAACCAGAATCTATGGATGATTTACGGAAAAGAATAGAAGATGAATGTCGACAATTAAATGCAGTCGTGGTAAGAAATGTAGAGAGAAAAATTTTAAAATAAGTTGTATATTGTATGAAAGTGAATGGCAGTCATTTTGAACAATTATTGTAAACATTTTTGTAGTGAAATGTTCATTTTAAAAGTTGTAATAAAATTGTTAAAAAATAATTTATTTTTTTTTGTTATTTAAATAATTTTTTTTTTAATCCAGTTTTCTTGATTTCTTATTTATTTTTCTCATAAAACTAATGACGTAAGCATAATATGTTATACATTTTTAAAATCAGTACAAAAAAGACAACTCCAAATATAAAATAAAAAAGGTGAAATAATTTAAACAAAAATTAAAGGATGATATGAGAGGTGAGAGGTGTCTTTCCCAGAAAACTTAAGTATGACATAATGTCTCTCCCTTTAAATAGTAATTGGCGTGTTTTTGCGCTTTTCCTAAAAATTCGAAGTTTAAAAATTATTAAAGGTGGGTAGTTTTTTCTGAAAAGCACTATATAATATATATGTATTTTGTATATACGTATTTTACTTTTATTATTCACTCACATTAACCTTTTCTATGTATAATTTCTATGTATACTAATTAGACGCACTCTGTTTTTGTTTTTTGATAATTTATTGTTTTATACATGAAATTAATTTTATTAAGAAATTTATTATACATTTTGGTATCTGCCATTTCTTATACCACACATCAACAATGCAACACTATGTTAATCAATTCTTACCTGAACATAAACAAGTCTAAACCTGCTCCCATCGCGTTCACAGGTGCTTCAGTTGCAGACGTACCTCTGTGGCTTTGTGAGTTGTGTTTGTTCATATATTAGTTTCTAAATCCAATGGGTTTCTGAATTTAAAAGCTCTAGAATCTAGTGTACAATGCATAAAGAAAAATATTGAATCAGGTGAAAGAATTAAACCCAAAATGAAAGAAAAATGCGGCAGAAACTCCAAGGTCAGAAAGGTATTAAAAGAAAATTTGCCTAGAAAACAAATTTGCCACCTCAAAATTGATAAAACCGCAACTCTAGATGTCAGTGTGAATGCCTCTGAATGTACTGTGTAAAGAACATTGAAATATTTGGGTTTTAAGGCCTGCCGCCCTGCCAGGAATCCCAAGTTTTCTTCACGAATGATACATCGTCGGCCCAATGCCAAAACCATAAATGTGAAAAATCGTGATTTGGAGGTATTTGGGTTTGAACGTTTTTGATTGTTCAAAGTTATTTTATGCCTTAAATTGTGGCTTATTCCCAGTTAAATAGTAATTAGTAGAAATGAGAACTATAAAATCAACACAAACCTTTAAATATTTTGGAGTCCAAATAATATCAAAAGCAGGGAGTAACAAAGAAATACATTATAGGATTGATCAAGCACAGTCAGCCACTATAAAAAAATACGGACAGCTACTTGGACTATTGTGGAATAGTAAAATAACAAAAGAAAATAAAAGAAACATTTATAAAACTATAATAGAGACTATTAGGTTGTACAGCGCAGAACTTTGGAAAATAAATCAAAAAAACTAATAAAAAATTAAGGAAGGAAATTAAACATGGAAATGGACTATTAGAGACAAGCTTCTATCACACTAGACTTGAGTAAGTAAGGAACATTAGGAGAGAAATTATAATATACCTAGACGTAATAGAGTATATCGAAGCCAAAAGACTAGACTGGTATGAAAACCTGCAGAGAATGACTGAAATGGTGTGGAAAAATAGACTTTATCCACTAAAAGAAAACGAGGTAGACCAGGACGGTCATGATGCGAAGATGTCGAAGGTGTAATACCCGCCAAAGATTTAAAAACTGAAAATTGCTTTGACAGAAAACGCTGGAAATTAGTATACAAGAAATAAAGGCATATATGATCATATTATTCAGTAAACCCTACGTTTTTTTGCATATTTTGAAGAGAAGCCACATGTGCTACCCGCAGCCATAAAACAAAGATGTAGTTCTAATGGCCGCGTCATTGATTATAAACCACTACCTGGTAGTGGTTTATAATCAATGGCCGCGTGAAACCAATGCGGCTGCTTTTTGTTTTAACGGTACAAGGTCGAGTAACCATACATGTAAACGAAATGGGAGGGATAACTGTATACTTCAATAGTTGCAATGAATAGTAAATATATGCTTATCAGTGCAATGTCGTTTATTTTACTGTTTCGGGTAAATATGAGCTTCGAGGAAGAGCTGGACCGATTAGAAGCTTTATGGCAGGTAATAAATTGTTGTATTATAGGATGTCCTCTTTGATGAAGATGAGCAGTAAATATTTAAAGACAATTCTTGTAATGAATATATTCCCGATAGCAGTGGTAAATCATCAGACGAGGATCCCATTTCATCATCAGACGTTTCCAAAAAAATGTCTAAAAGTTGACACTTTAGAACATCTAAATTTGGCAGAAATTTGACGAATTTGGACGAAACTATAGTCCCTTTTAGAGGGCTTTTCAATTTCAAACAATTTAATAAAAATAAGAGGCACAAGTTTGGTATCAAACTTTGTGTTGAAAAGCGTTATACCTACAATTAAACAGTTTATTGTGGACAAGACAAAGTAGAAGGTCAGTCTTTTGAAAAAGTAGTTCTTACACTGGCAATAGATTTATTAAACAAAGGACACTCTATTTATATTGACAATTACTACACCAGTATTTCTGTAGCTTATTTATTATTAGAAAAATAAACTCACCTGGTGGGAACACTAAGAGCTAATCAAAAATTTAATCCAGAAGGTATTATACAAAAGCAACTCAAAAAGGTGAGACAGTAGCTGCTGAAAGTAATACTGGAATGTTAATTAAAAAATTTAAGATCAAACGTGATGTTATGACATTGACCACAAAACATACTTTAGCTTCTACAAGTTACCTCTGGGCACAAGCACGTACAATAATTATAAAGCTTTTATTGACCTATCTGATCAGACGAAAGCTTGTGTTACTTCTTTAAGACAAAGCGTGAAGTGGTATAGGAAATTAGCTGTCGAACTGCTTATTGAAATATCATAAGTCAATGCTTTTATACTACATAAATAGAAAATACGGAGCATTATCGTTGTAATGAACCTCCATTGACGCAGCATGTGCTAGAAGATATTGGTCAAAATGGATGACGCAGATATGTTGACTGCTATAACAATCTGAGTGGAGCTGGTGGTCGAACAGAAGCTCGAAACATTAGCTATTCACAATAATTAGATGCCATATTTGTCAAAAAAATTATTTCTTATCTTGGTTTTTTTTTGCAGTTATTATTCTTTTTTATCTTTGTAGTACAATTCTTAATAAATAAATAACAAAGTGTTTGTTTCTTTGCATAAGTTTTTATTTCTATAAATAATAATATGCGTATTAAAGATGTTTTATTTTTATATTGTTTTACAGCCATGTGAAACCACATTGTACTCTCAATTATAGAGGCCAAATGTATTTTCTTGTTCTTACAGCCATTGTACTATATTTCATAAACATTTCACTGCGTTGAATAGCATAATATGCGAGTTCACACAGCAATAACGTATCCGCCTGTCCGCGGTGCATGACTGGCTTCACACGGCCAGAAAGTCAAATTTGCTGTGATGCCGCAATGGCATCTCATGGCAGCGAAGGTTTTAAATAAATAAGAAAAATTTTAAGTAGTTAATTTACATAACCAAATTTATTTTATATTTTCATCCACTCAAAACAAATTATATCTTTACGTACATTAACAATTATTTACATATATGATTTTATTTAATTTCTTCAAAGTTGATCCACATGCCATCAATAACATGACGAAATAAGTAGTAGGTATCCAATTTAAAGGGAAGCTTCGTTTTTGAGTTTATTGTCATTTTGAAGTTTTTAACAATGTATGCGATCCCAACTTTTATCTGAGTCTGAGCAAAACGTTGACCTTAAACAAAAATAGATTATACGATGTTTCATTAGTAAGTAGATCTTGGAGGCAGTGTGGATTTTAGACTTTTAATCTAAAACAATACCTAAGCGTCGAAACATAATGCCGTCGATCACAGCTACGTAAGTGATCGTTAAGTCATGTTAGAGGCGCTTGCATGATCTGAAAACCATAAAACTAGATCTAAACTAGAAGATCCCACGAACTCTACTCTGCACCAAAATTTATAATAGATAGATAAATAGAATACAATTATGTAAAAAACTCCCAACTGTCATATACTTGAACATCTAGTATAGACTAATCATAGATGCACTGCATATAATAGTCTAGGTGCCAGAGGGGATTGATTACGCACTTTTATGTCCATCGCTACGTTTTTTTTTATGTTTTTTGTTGCTTAGAATCAATATTTCGATGATACTAGGCTGAAAACACGTCAGATGATTTGTTCTTAGCAAAAAATATATCTAATAATATAAAAATAAGAGTATACAAAACTATAATTAGACCCACAGTGCTATATGCTGCCGAGACATGGACTTCGAACAACACTATAGAATATATTGAAAACATTAGAAAGAAATATACTTCGCAGAATGTTTGGTGGAAAGTAGTAGAGGGAGAATAGAGAAGAGGATAAATTAGTGTATCTCCTAAACTATTAAAGATATTTATTTTTAACAAAATGAAATTTGTTTTTTTTTAATAAACAAAATGGTGTTGGGAGCGCGGTATTAAAGTTCCATATCTTTCTCAAAGTATAACATAAAAACATTTACCAAATACCTTATAAACAAATTCTCTTGTTCTTAGAATTGGAGCTAAGTTTACCCAATGCCGTTTCGTTCATTTTTTGATTTTTTCAAAAGGAAAAATTTTCATTTTGGTAAAATACGGAAAACTGATTAAAAATAAAATCGAAAACGAATATAAAGATATAGAAGCTGAAGAACAGGCAGGATTCCGGGCAGGGAGATCAACGGTAGACCATCTGTTTTGTATTACACAGATTATTGAGAAGAAACTGGCCGTCAACCAGGAGGTGCATCTGTTATATATGGAGAAAAGCGTATGATAGCATCCCACAAAACAAACTATGGGAAGCATTAGAGACAACCAATATAAGCGCAAATTTAATAACAGCGACGAAACAATTGTATACCAAAACTGCAGCAAGGGTGAAAGTTGGAAGCGGGCTATCGAGAGGATTCAAAATTAGCAAAGGCCTAAAACAAGGGTGCTGCCTTTCACCGACATTATTTAAGATCTACCTCGAGCAAACTCTAAAACTTTGGAAACGCAAATGCAAAAACATGGGATTACCGATCAACAACAATAAAATATACACTTTGTCATTTGCAGACGACCAACTTGTACTAGCGCAAGACTACGATGATATAGAATATATGACAAGGAAATTAATAGAGGAGTACAAAAAAGGTGGTTTGGAAATAAACATAAAAAGACCGAATATATGTGTATCGGTGGGACACAGCAGGACCTTACACTGGGAATGGCGAAATTATTAAACATTGCGACGCATATAAATACCTAGGTATGACCATCACACAAGAAGGAAACGTAGACCGGACGATAGAAGAAAGAAACAACCAGAGAAAAAAAGCAATTACCCTTCTCAATAGCATACTGCGGGACCAGGCAATATCAAACAACAACAAACATAGAATATACAATACAATTGTTAAGAGTATAATCACTTACAGCAGTAAAGTATGGCAAATAAAAGAAAGATACAAGAGAAAACTTGAAGCAACAGAAATGGATTTATGGAGGCGCTCAGCAGGAAAATCAAGATTAGAATGGGTAACCAACAATAGAATTAGGGAAATAATGAATGTGAAACACACAATAATAGATGACATTAGTACCAAACAGCTTAGATGGTATGGACACGTACAAAGAATGTCCGAAGAACGACTCCCGAAACAAATCCTAACGTGGACCCCTCATGGTAGACGAAAAAGAGAAAGACCCCGCCTTAGTTGGAGAGAAGGCATAAATCGAAGTATGAGAGAAAGAGAATTAGATGAAGACCTTTGGATGGACCGAAGTGAATGGCGACTAGGCATGGGAAGACGTAGGAGAACGTTTTAAAACCGATATATATATATATATATATATTATATATATATATATATATATATATATATATATTATATATATATATATATATATTTATATGTATATATATAATATATATATTATATATATAATTAAATATCTTTTTATAGTTTAGGAGATACAATCAGCCTGGTACTCTCGAAAAATCGATTCTACGCGCTAAAAAACATAAAAAAGTCAAGATACGGAGGAGACATACAATAGCATAGTCAACACCCCCCTCACTCCCAGAGTAGAATTTTCGTACGCTATGCAACTGACAAGAGTGAGGTAGTAAATAGAGGTGAATTTCCAGCGACTGTAAAATAACTGAGGCGTATCGACTAAAACATAAAAGTATGTTCGCACAAACAGTCAAATCAGTCAAAAATCGTTGGCAAACAGTTGATCAGGTCATTAATGCTACCCCTCTACTTGCTCTGCTTGACGATTCGCTGATAGTTTATCATTGATTTGTCCGCTTGTTGGAACAAACCTCAAGACTCTTACAGAAAAGGCAAGTTAAAAGGCCTTGATTGTCGTCTTCAATATCTAACCTATCAAACAGATTGGTAATATGTACTGTAAAATACTACAAATATTTAAAAGTCTTAAACTAAGAGGCCAGATTGATCAAAATTAGGAGGAACAATTTATATCAAAGATAAATTATCTGAACTAACGAATTTAATAAAAATGGCTACTTTTACCGTTATTAATGTATATTATATACACATACGTTTTGGGTTCTTTTATTAAGATCATTTGGTGACATTAGATTCATCATCATCATCATCATCTTGGTGCTACAGCCCTTAGAGGGCCTCGACCTTTTTAAGCTTTCTACGCCATTCTGTTCTCTCCCTTGCTTGAATTTCCAGTTGCCGAATCCAATCATCTCCGCATCTTGTGTTACCCCATCCATCCACCTTAACTTTGGTATACCCGTCGTCTCATTCCCACAGGTTGCGCTGTTAGAATCTTTATCATGTTCGATTCATTAGCCCGGGCTACATGTCCTGCCCACTGCAGGCGGTTTCGCGTAATTATAGTGGTAATATCTTTACCACCAAACGTATGCTTTTAGATATTTTTCAGTTCGAAGTTATATCTACGCCTCCATATTCCGTTCTCACAGACCGCTCCAAATGTCTTGCGTAGCACCTTTCTTTCAAAATGGATAGAGCGGATTCATCTGTTTTCGTTAGCGTCCACGCCTCTGATCGTATGTAAGAACGGGACTATCAGTGTTCTATACAGCCTTACACGAGTTTTTTGAGACAGACGTTTGTTAGCTAAGTACTTTGATAGACCATAATAACACCTGTTTGCAATTATTATTCGCCTTTTTATTTCCTCAGATGTTTTAGTTCCTAAGACATTAGATTCATCACAGTTATATAATCTATTTTGTCAACAGCACAGGAGGTTATATCGATTGTGTAATAAAATCAGCTATGGTTGAATTCTCAAATAAATGAATTTAACAAATAAAGGCAGACATCAAGCACAGTTCTTTTATTAAATCTTGCCCAAATCCTTTTGCTCTCATCATGTCTTCAGTGGCATATGAAAGAAGGCAAGCAACGTTTTTTCAAGTGAAATAAAAGTAGCAAACTGAGAAAATGGTTGATGGTTGATAATAAATATATTCCGTTTAAGAATTACTTTGTCAAATTGTGGCTATCCAGCACATTACTACTACTACTATCGGTTTACAGCGTTCTCCGACGCCTTTCGACTCCTAACCGCCATTATTCTCTATTCAACGATAGGCCTGGAGGGATTTCTCTTTCCTCTAGTTCTTTTTCAATTCCCTCTCTCCAGCTTCTTCTCGGTCTTCCTCTTTTCCTTCTCCCTTGTGGTGTCCACGTCAAAATCTGTTTTGGAATCCTGTCATCTTGCATTCTCTGTACATGGCCGTACCATATTAACTGTTTTGTTTTTATGTCATCAATTATTGTATGCTTGACTCCCATCATTTCTCGTATTCTCTCACTAGGTATCCGATCTATTCTTGATTTGCCTGCTGCACTTCTCCAGAAGTCCATTTCTGTTACTAGTAACAGTTTCTCTGTTCTTTGTTTCGTTGGCCAAACTTCACTGCCATGGATATGGCTTTTTACCCTGTATATTTCTGTCTTTTATAGCAGCATCGAGTGTTCCATCTTAAGTTATCTTCATATCCAAGTACTTGTATTCATCACAGTTTCTAATTTCTACCCAATTTTCCAGTTTTCTTATTGTTAACTTCGAGACCCCATTTGTTATATTCTTCTATTTGCTTCCGAGTCATGTAACTCAAGTCGTCATGATCCTGGGTATTTTGTCATCAGCGAAACATAAGGTGTACAGTGTAGTCTCGTCATTGAGAGGGATTCCCATCCCATTACATTTTCTTTTCCATAGCTTGAGTGCTTGTTCCAGATAAATTTTGAAAAGGGTAGGCGAAATACAACAACCCTGCTTTAGTCCTTTCGTGACCTTAAATCCTTTAAATATCCTTGATCCAGTTTTAATTTTTGCAGTCGTTCCATTATACAGACTTTGGACTGCTTTGATAAGACCATGCTTAATGTTGGTTTGCTGTAGGGTTGACCATAGTTTACTTAAAGGTACACTGTCATATGCTTTTTGTAAGTCAACGTACACCAGTTGAACTTCTCTATTGAAGGCTGTTTTTTTCTCAATAACTTGCGTAATAGAGTACAGGTGGTCTACAATGGATCGCCCAGCTCTAAAACCAGCCTGCTCCTCTGCTTCGTAATCTCTATAGTCATTTTCTATTTGTTCTTAATAAGTTTTCCATACATCCTACTTATTTTGCTGTTTACCGCAATTTCTCTGTAATTTTCACACCGATCCTTGCTGCT